GCTGCCTCTTAGTCAAGTCCATGAGCACCCTGCCATTGCCTTGAATACCAACAGGCCTAGGATTGATCTCATCATCTGCCCCCAACTCACCAAAAGTCTTTTCTTGATGACATTTCGAGTTGGGCTAACAATTGCAAGGTCAGCAGTTCAAAAACACCAGCCACTCTGCAAGGGAAAGTAAAGAGTTAAAGTCTGGGAAGCTCACATGGGCAGTTCTACCGAGTCCTATAGGGTCACTGTCAAAATCAGCTCGAGAGTACTAAGTCTGGATTTTGGTGTTTCTTGATCTTATTTTCATTTAAGCCCTAGCTTAATCCTCACTGTTGTTTAGAAGGTTAAAATAACCTAACTTGCCTTCAGCTCCTATTGGTGTGATAGCTGTGTCATTTAAATTTTTTCAGTAAATTGTCCATGTTCACCTAAGAGTTTCTCATTTCTTCCCCAAGAAACACCTTTTTTATTTTATCTCAGCCTTTATGTGGCCCAGCACCATCTGGTCCTAATTTTCTTCTCCACACTCTGCTCTGGGTCTTTTCATCATCTGCAGATACATCCCGGACATTCTCCAGGACGCTGTACTCTGCCAACTCGAATGGCCGTTTCTCATTTCTCCGTGGAATAAAGACTGAAGGTAGTAGTGGCCGTTCCTTCTGTTAACGCTGCTCATGCTCATTGTGTAACGCCTACAGCAATCCCGTGTCCAAAATTGCCAAGATACTTCCAGGCTCAGATCATTTGTCCCATACTTCCCTAAGTGTTGCTACTTGCCAAACTATAAGTTATGATTTATAGTCATTAAACTAAGGTCCCATATGTCTTTAGTAGTCACTCAGACCCCACTATTTTTGCTCTATGTTAGCTCATGTTTTATATATTTCTCATATTTTGGGAGTCCCTGGGAAACCCAGGTTAATGCTCAACTTGTAGCCAAAAGGCTGGCAGTTCAAACTCACCCAGAGGTGCCTCAAAACTCTGCATACGTGATTTCGCCATGAGTCAGAACTGAACAGCAACTAATAACAACCTCTTGTATGGGTTTATGCCCAACCTACCCCATGGTGCAAGGAGACACCATGAGTCAGGTTACCCTGTGTCTCTCATAGGCCTCGCTCTACTTAAATAAATACTTTTTGGTTTAATTTTCAGCAGAATGTACCATTATCAATATTTCCATGTTTAGATGCAGTTTTATTCTTCTTAGCTATTTATTCTATGTCTAGCTGTATTTGAAAAAGAAAAGACACAAGACATAAAGCAAGCAACTGGTTTCTTTTACTTTAAAATAAATCATTTTATTGGGGGTTTGCACAACTCTTATCACAATCCATACATACATCCATTGTGTCAAGCACATTTATACATTTGTTGCCATCATCATCCTCAAAACATTTTCTTTCTATTTGAGCCCTTGGCATCAGCTCCTCATTTTCCCCCTCCCTCCCCCACTTTCTCTACCTTATGAACCCTTGATAATTTAGAAAAAGATTCTTTTCATGTCTTACACTGTCCGATGTCTCCCTTCACCCACTTTTCTGTTGTCTGTCCTCAGGGAGGGGGTAATCTGTAGATCATTGTGATCGGTACCCCTTACTGTCCCAAGCTACTTGTTTCTAATGGGTAAAATGAAGCAAAGATTTGGAAACCTTCCCCCAAAATGAAAGCAGTGATTATAGTAATAGACAGCCCCTACTTCCTAGCCCATCTCGTACTCAAACAAGGAAGCCACATACATGCAGGTACATAGACACAGGTAGAATCACTCATATAAGCACAAGGAATGTATGCAACAAGTGAAGATTTATTCACTATAACCACCTATAATGAATTTAAAGAGTTCGGTGAATTTATATGTAACAAAATGTCTACATCTCTTTCTTTTGACTTGTCTATACTTTTTAAATTTAAAATAACATTACTGGTGGATTCAAAATTTTCATGGGAAAATGGACTTAAAAGAATAGGATTTTACACAAACTTTTTGAAGCCCCCTCTTATATTTGAAATAATTATATTATTAATAATACAGAAATTTTTAAAATCATTTTATTGGGGGCTCATACAACTCTTACCACAATCCATACATACATCCACTGTGTCAAGCACATTTGTACATTTGTTGGCATCATCATTCTCAAAGCATTTGCTTTCTGCTTGAGCCCTTG